TATATTTAAGATCACATCATCTGTAAATAGAGATAGCTTTACTTCTTCTGTTCCACTTTGGATGCCTTTTATTTCTCTTTCTTGCCTAACTGTTCTGGCTAGAACTTCTAGTACTATGTGAATGAAAGTGGCAAAAGTGGGCATCTCTGTCTTGTTTCTGATCTGGCAGGAAAAGTCTCAGCTTTTTATACCATCAGGTATAATGTTGGCTGTGGGTCTGTCATATATGTGACTTTATGATGAGGTCCATTCCCTCCATACCTGCTGAATGTTGAATTGTAAAAACATTCTTGAATTGTGAAAACAGTCTTGAAACTCCTCAGATAGATGAAAGAGAAAGAATGTGGTCAAGTTTTCCTCTATGGATTTCCCTGCATTACTACTCCATACCTAAAAATTTTATATGAAATCTGCTGTGTGTACAGCACTGATCTCCACAGAACTGTCCCTCCTCAAATCTCTGTGATGGCATGCAGTAATTCTCATAGCCTTTCAAGAACAAAGTAGGGAGGGGCTTGCTGCCTTACCAAAAGCGACACACAATGTCTAGAATACAGATGTAAGTCACTGCACCGGCCTCAGGCACAGTGGCTGACAGGAGGGCACTAAATGTATGAAAAAAGGGGGACCCCATGCTGCATGCATATATGCATCGTCACCTGGCACCTAAATATTCATCAAGTATAAGAAAGGAAAGACCAAAATCTGGATGAACGCAGGGTACTCCTTTGGGTCAGGAAACTACAGCCCCATGGATCAAATGTGGCCCACTGCCAGCTTTTGTAAATAAAGGTTCAATGGAACAATGCCATGCTCATTCATGTACTGTCTGTGATTGCTTTCATACTACAACAGTAAAGTCGAATAGTTAGGACAAAGATCATGTGGCCAAAAATATTTACTATCAGGCTCTTCATATAAAATGTATGCCTACCCCTACTTTAAAAAACAAAGGTTTGGGGACGCCTGGGTGGCTCAGTCAGTTGAGGGTCTGACTCTTGATATTAGCTCAGGTCATGGGATGGAGCCTGCGTCAGGCTGGGTGCGGAGGGTGGAGCCTACTTGGGATTCTCTCTCTCCCTTTCTATTTTCCCCTCCCCTCCTTGCCTGTGCTCTCTCTCCCTCTCCCCCAAAGTAAGTAAACAAACTTGAAAGCAAAACAAAGGAATGAAGTACACTGAAGTTGCCAAAAGAAAACCACCAAGCTGACAGCAAGAAGCTATGCCTCATAGAAATGCAGTAAGTGAAAACAACACAGTCATCTCTGGAAAGAAAGGGGACTTAACTGCATCTGTTTTCATCTGTTTTAAACTTGAAAGAATTATTAACAAGAGTATATGTGACTGTAATTTTTTAAAACCTCAGGTGGCATATTTCTGTGAGACAAACTTTCACTTGGAAACATAAAACCTGTTAAAATCGGTAAGTTGAATATATTGACTAAATTTTGTTTTGTAGTAAATTTTGTCTAAATTTAGATTTACTCTAATCAAAAGGATCAGGCGGGTAGAAAAGTTCTCAAGCTCTTGTCATCAAAACAGATGCCCTTTAAAAACAAAAACACCTTTATTTTGGTTTCCAAATATTTATGTAGTCCTAGTAAACTACAGACAATCCAGTAAACTTTAAAAATATACACAGTTTGAGGGGCGACTGGGTGACTCAGTCAGTTAAGCCTCCGACTTCGGCTCAGGTCATGATCTCACGGTTTGTGGGTTCGAGCCCCGCATCGGGCTCTGGGCTGACAGCTCAGAGCCTAGAGCCTGCTTCAGATTCAGTGTCTCCCTCTCTCTCTGACCCTCCCCTGCTCATGCTGTCTCATGCTGTCTCTCTCTCTCTCTCTCTCTCTCTCAGAAATAAATAAAACATTAAAATTTTTTTTTAAAAATATAGTTTGATTAGTTGAAAATCTAATGCTTGACATTAATTTTATCTTTATTTCTGATACAATTTCCTTCTATTAATAACTTATGACCTATAAGCTCTATCGTTACCCAAATTCCAAGCATTCTTCACTGAATGGACTAGCAGTGACTATTTTTGATACAAATGTTGAAAGTTCTCTAACTCTTTACTAAGCCTGACTTCCCCACTCTCCGGATGTCACCCTGTCATGAGCACTCAGGCCGGGGATAACCCCCCACCTCTGAAAACTGAACAAAGGCTTTGCTGTTGCAGCATCGAGCCAGGCTGGTTTGGCAACAGTTTTTATATTTATTGTGAAATCTGTTATAAAACCAAGTCAGTCCTATACTGTATTTGTGAATACTGTTGCCTTCTGCACATATCATAACAAGTAATTTCAGTCACTAAACTGTAATTAGATATGAAGTCAGCAGCCTTCAAAGAAGATTACAAAGTGACTTCTGGCCATTGTATGGTATTGACACTGACACTTAAAACCCAATTTCACTGTAGAACCAATCAAAAACTGCAAAGAACTAAAACAGCAGAAAGAAATGCTCTTTGATCAAGGTGTGACAGAACGCAGTGTCTAAACGCCTAGGCCAAAAGACTTCATTCAATGGTGCAAAAAGCTTCAGGCTACAGTGATAAGCAATGAAAACCACCAGCAGCAACCTCTAGAGAAAGTGTCATACTTAAATTAGGCACTGTAACAAACGATCTATGACTTTGGTGAAATTTAATGAAGCTTAACACTACACTAAAGTCCATTTCTATGCTTCATCATTTTCATTTGCGCTGGATGCTCCAAAACTGCATCATAGCATAAATTAAGAAGTGGGTGTGACCGTATGGGAACCAGCCGGCTTCGTTTTCAAAGGAGTGGTGAGCTCAGCCATCTGACTACACCTTCACACAGGTGATCGCTTTCAATGGTGTCCTCCTTAGCCCCTCTTTTTCCCCTTTCAATTTTCTTTCCCGGCATTTCAAGACACTTCTGTGTTTCTCTTACTGAAAACGCAGGAGGTTAGTAAGAAGCAGTAGAGACACAGAAGTCCAGGGCGCGGGCCCTGTGAGGCTACATGTCTCAGCGGACACCTACTGTCAACACAAGGTGGGCCAGCTGGCTGACTTCTTCCTGCTTCAGTTTCATCTAAAAAAAAGATAAAAAGAGTGCCTATCCCAAGGAGTTTTGGGGAGGAATGAAAGAGTTATCCATGTAAAGGGCTTAGAATAGTGCCTGGCAAACAGTAAGTGCTTAAGGAACACTGGCTAATGTTATTAAGATAAATTATTGATTGACTAAATATGTTGTTTCAAGCAATGTGAAAAGAGATTTTAAGTAATTACTAGATCCTTTTGGAATGCACAGTTTTATCATATGTGGTCTGTATTATATTAGACCATTTTATGATACAAACATCTCTTAAAGTGGTTCACTCTCAATGTACAATCACTTGAGGAGGTCAAAATCAGCTGAGTTACACTGCACCTTCTGAGTCAAAATCTGGATCAAAATCTGAATCAAAAACAGAGCCCAGAAATTTATTTATTTTTAATTTCCAGCTGATTCTAATGTGCAGGCAATTTGGGGACCTACTGATCCTGACAGGGCTAAATGTTCAAATTATCCTTTAAAACTTCATTCACCTACCTCAGATCTGCACACTAACCCACACAAACATGCAATCATTTCCTGCCACATTTGTGGCTAAGTTTGATTTATTTAAAAATATAGTGGAAGTGGGGGTTTAATTTAAGAAAAGTATTTCATCATAGTTAAAACAGTGCTCTGGTGGTCTGTTGAAGTTCAAAGTCTTCTAATTATAACTACTCAGGAGAACACTCTGGTTATGCTAATGCCATTAGGTATAATAATAACACCTTATATTTGTCCACATCTTTATATAGTATTCTATCATTTCATTTCTTTTTTATTTTTTTTAATGTTTGTTTATTTCTGAGACAGAGAGAGACAGAGCATGAGCAGGGGAGGGGCAGAGAGAGAGAAAGGCAGACACAGAATCTAAAGCAGGCTCTGAGCTGTCAGCACAGAGCCTGACATGAGGCTCAAACCCACCAACCTGAGTACACTAGGTACGTAGGGCAGCTACTGATTCTGCTTTACAGATGAGGCACCAAAGTGTTATCTGAGACCAGCAAAGCCACAAGAAAGGGCACATTCTCCGACTCCCAGACTGTTCTGTTAGTTTGTTTGCTTGTTCCACCCAAAGGAAAACATGATACAAAAACTACTTTGTAAATGCAAAAAAACTCAACAGAAGGAGAAAACAAAGTGTGAGTGCTACAGGTCGCTGCTATGAACTATTGGGAGATTACATTTTTCCCTTCAAAACGTAATCATGTATCATAAAATTTAAAACCCTGGCTTCTTCCTATTTATAATAAATAGAGTGGAAAAAAAATAGCTGAACGAGAAATTAATCACGAGACTGGATGGAACCAAACAAATGGTGGAGATGAAGAGAAGTCTCCCTCAACAATGCCAGACCAGACCAGGCAGGTTCTCCTCATTAGCAAGATCCTTCCAGGAGTCAAAACCTCTTCAGCCCCTTGACTTTATAGTAGTCTAGACCTCCCTCAACTCTTTATATAACATACTCAGGATAAATGGAATTAATTTTGAGAAGCAATAACACGAGACATTTATAACTATAGGAAAGATCAACAGCATTTCTTTTCATTGCTCATATTTAGGCTGCATAACACTAAAGTTCTAATTGCTAATTATTTTTAAAATGCATTTACATAAAATGAAATGTTTTGCAATTATTCTTGAAATACAAAGTGTTATTCATTTCCATTTAATTCTGCTAAATTATTAATACAACTCATTTATTGCACTTTATGTTCCTACTAAAATACAACAAGTATTAAAAATTGTATTCTTAACTATAGTTCAATTTTAATCACAGAGGTTAAAAATGCTAGGAATTTAATAACAAAAAGCACATTGCAGGACCAGTCCTGGAATCTTCCTCATAGCGTGCTATTAAAAATAAAGACAACCAATATAATAGGTCACCACAGAAACACTGTAATAAAAAAGTTAACTTTCAATCGATACAACTTACTGTAAAAAGCCAAATCTGTCCGTGACTTTGTAAACAAGGTAATCAGCATCCTCCCAAGGTTCAATCTCTGCACCTTCTCGTCCCTGTAATAGGGGACAAAGAAGGGCATTATGGGAACTTATAAAACTGAATAATTACTCAGAATAAAAAGGCCACAAGAGTTATTTTTTATGAATTAATAGTAAGAGCTAGAAATGAGGCATTATCAACCTAAATTAACTGTAGAAAACACACTACTTCTGGCAATACAGTCACTGCTTCCTAGGTACAGGCTTCAAAAGTCCTACAGGTCAGCAACAGCTGACACCCGCCTAAGCCCTGACATCAGACTTGGGTTCCTGTGAGAAGCCAACTGGGGAAGAGGGAGCAACAAACGGTAAGAAAGCCACTCAGGAAGGAGCTGCCACACTTTAATGTTTCTGAATAAAGCTGTCTTATGGGGCGCCTGGGTGGCTTAGTCGGTTAAGCGTCCGACTTTCGCTTAGGTCATGATCTCGCGGTTAGTGGGTTCGAGCCCCGCATCGGGCTCTGTGCTGACTGCCAGCTCAGAACCTGGAGCCTGTTTCAGTCTGTGACACCCTCTCTCTCTGACCCTCCCCTGCTCACGCTGTCTCTCTCTCTCTCTCTCCTAGAAATAAATAAAAATATTAAAAAAAAAAAAAAAAAAAAAGCTGTCTTAGAAAAAAACTTTTTTGCCTTCTTAAGCTCTCTACCTTGTCTCTCTACTTCTGTACTTCACAGCTACATCAGCCTGGACACGATGCTTGCCAAGGCCAAAAATGATCTTCCATTGGCCAGTCCAGTGGACACTGCTCGGTGTCGCTCACTCAACCTCCATGACACTGGCCTCTCTGGGTTCTCCTCATACCACCCAACTCTTCTTTTGATGGGTCTTCATGGGTCCCTCTGTGCCCAGAGCTCTGCCCTCAGCCCACTGCTCTTCTCGCTGTCCCTCTGAGGCTGTGAACTACCAATGATTAGCAGGAGCCCCAAACGTCTACACCAACCCTCACATTTCAGACTCAACACCCAACTGTCTTGGGGATCCCTCTATCTGCATGTATTTTATCAATGACGGCACAATGGCCAGCCCAGTCACTAAGTGTTAACTGCGGGGGAGAAAATGCGTGCAAGCGTGAATGAGTGACAGTTCCACTGATTTTAAGTTAGTTAAGCAGTTAAATAAATTAATTAGGTTTTTCATAGATTCCACTAAAACCTATTCACAATAGTGGGAATTTATGTCTGATGTTCCAAACAACCAATTTAAAGACGAACTCTGAGCACACCGCCTGTATGCCTCCCTGGGGGCAGGGCACAATCCAGATGGCTTTCTATAATTTCACGTGCCTGGTATTCTCACAAATAATCAAAAGTAACAGATACGAAAGTACATGCAAGTGACACAAATATAAAACATGACATTTATAAATCACTGCCTACAACCCATTACAGACCTCAAGAGGTAAAGTAATAATGAGGAGACACATAAACTATCAACAACTGTGATTTTCGAAGGCATCAAAAACCAGATTTCATAACTAACATAGAGATAAAATGCTAATGGAGATTATATATAATGCTTAAGTTCAAATTTTCAAATCCATGTTAAAATTTTAATAGCATATATAAATTATAAATAAAATGGATATTTAATTTTATATACTAACATATTCAAATATTTATTGAATACCTAGCAGGAGTCAGAAACTGTTCCAGATATTTAGAATACAAGAGAAAGTCAAACAAAAGATATTCTTACCCTCAGTTTACATTCTAGGAGTGAGAGCAGACAAAAAACAAAAGAAGTATAATATAAAGAATGCTAAGGTGAGTGCTGTGGTGAAAGAGAAAGAAGAGAACAGGAATCCAGAGAGCTTGGGGGTGGGGGGTGGTATTAAACAATGTGGTCAGAGAAGATCTCACTAAGAAGGTAACATCTGAGTAAAAATCTGAAAAAGGTGAGGCAAACTGCATGAGACTATCTCATTAGTATACAATATTCTAGGCAGAAAAAAACAGGCAGTGCAAAGGCCCAGAGGCAGCAGCAAGCCCGGTGTGTTGCAAGAACACAACAGACCAGGGTGGCTGGAGCAGAAGGAAAAAGAAAAAATATGGAAATGAAGTCAGAGAAAAAAGATGACTTACTTCAAATGTCACATGAAGTAAATACACTGCTTCTGTAATTTAAGCTCTCCAAAAACCAAATCCATTTCTATTTATATGTTTATTCTAATAAAACTGACAAAGAGTAAATCTGAATACTTACTCTGTCATATTTAGCAACTATTTCAGCTCGCTCCTGGGCAAGTTTGAGGGCTACATCCTGGTCCGAGTCTGTGGAGAGATCAAATTTAGATGAACCACCATTTAAAAAAAACATAAAAAACTAAGATAAAACAAAAATTAAATGATAAACCAATATTGCCTGAAAGGACAAACTAGCAAAATAAAATAAACATAAAAGGCTGAGTTAATTATCTATAACTACAACTTTGAAAGATCAACACATCTACCATTTCAATAGTATATATGATATTCAAAAGAAAGCAAATTTGTTAACATAGCATTAACTTAGAGGAGATGATAAATCTTATCCCTTAAGAACCAATTTTGGATCTAATTTCAGAGGAACAAGTGTTAAAGTAGAAACAAATCAAAAGCTCGGAGTTTTCAGATGAAACCCATCTGGGTGTATGATGAGAAGAACAGTCAAGAAGGCTTTTACAAATGGAGGTAATCTGTCCACAAAATAAACCAGTGTAAGATATACTTCAGGAGTTAGAAAAATTTTTTCTCCCACATGATGAAAATAATCACTCCTTCATTTGGCCCCTGAGGCCTCATCAAATGCCCCAATTACTATGCTAATCACCAATTTTACCACATACATCCCTTTCTTTCTTACCACCACCAGGTATCTCTGAAAAACACAAATCTGACAAGAGCGGTAGAGATCATAACATGAAATAGTATGCATATGATGACACATCCCAAGCACCATAAAGAAAAACAAAAGACCAGTGACAGACTGTATCAAAGGCACCTCTTATCAAGAAGAAAAAGACCAGCATTCCACTGGAAATGTGGGCAATGGCCATGAGCATGAAAGTCACAAGAGTAACAACAGCAGCCACACCCGTATCTGTGCTCTCTCTAACCCCCTGGCAGATAGTAAGATAGCGCCCGGCAGAGATACTGTGAAGGGTTCTTTACATGCCTTACCACGTGTATGTCTCACAATGACACCCTACCACAGGTATCGCATGAGTTCTATCACACAGATGCAAAAACAAGGCCTAGAGATATTAGCCAACTTGTCTAAGGTCACAAAACTAGTAAAGAGCAAAACTGGGACTCAAGTCTGGACAGTCTTAGACTCCATAGCCCGTAATTTTAAGGATTATTTTATAAAAATGACTACTAAAGACACAGGAAAGATAAAAAAAACAATACAGACACAAGAAAGGACTTCCAGTGAAAGATGACAGAACACACACTTTCATATCCATTCCTCTGGAAAGGTACTCAAATGACTATACAGGGATTTTTTAAACCCCCTCCCTTCAAGGCCCAGCAAATGGTGCTCCTGAGAAGAGGGAAGTGGAGGCGGAGGGGATTAGGCCTGGAAAGCTGATGAAAGGAGTCAATTCCCTGAGACGGAAGGGATGTGCATGTGAACAGTGTGGGTCAGGTGTGGGGAAGAAGACCATGTTCGCCCTCCACAGCAGGAAACCACAGGTGCTGCCTGCGACTTCGGAAGCCGGAAGCGGCAATCTAGGCACGCTCTCTAGCTCTATGGGAGAACACTGAAAACCAAGCCGCCCAGGGAGAGGAAGGTGGTCACCTCTGTGGGGTGGGCTGTGGGGAGGGAGGAGGATGGAAGTCAGCTATTTTTCAAAATAAGTCGTACAGACTGCTGAATCTTTAAACCAAGTATAGTTCTGATAAAAATAAAATCTAAATTTAAAAGCCGAAGCAGGGGGAGAAAAATAAACTTATCACAAACTAACGAAATACAAGTTTTAAAATATCTTTGTACTTATCTCAGACTGACTAAAAAATGCACTGATGTTACTCAATGTTGACAAGAGTGTGGGGAAATCTGCAGCAGCTTACTCTGGGGGAGACTTATCTTTCTGGAAAGCAATTTGATATGTCCCCAGAATCTTAAAAACAGGAGTGTCCTTTACCTAACAATTCCACCTCTGGGGGTTTAGGCCAATGAGATCATCAGTATAATAGAAAAAATTGGAATAATGGTAAATTGTCAATTTTTAAGTTTACTTGGGAAAAAATTGTTTATGTCACTGCTTTTCTCAGACTGCCAATATACTCTCCTTTGGGGCAAATGTGAATAAATAATAGAACGGTTCAATAAAATAACGAAAATGCAGACTAGATCTTCACAGGGAACTAATGCAGTCAGAAGTCAGGGATATCAACTCAGTTATATATTCATTACCCTGGTCTAGACTTAGGACTTCTTTCAATTCCTTTTCCCTCTTCGGTTGCCCAGCTTTACAACATTACACTCACATTTCTACAAAAGGGTAGGGAAAGCAAATTAAGGAAATTAAACTCAAACTAGGAAAGCTGACTACTAACTAAACTCCACTTCCATTATCAGAACAACTAAGCATGAGTATCTACGGCGATCAGGCCAGGCTCTCTCTGGATGTGTGCTATATATCAGACCTTCACTGCTGCTTCAGTTATGGGAGTCTCAACCCTATTTCCTACTTAACAATGAAAGGCTTAAAAATATGAAGGCAAGAACTGAAAACAATACAGAGTTGAGAAGATGCAAAGTATCCCAAGAAAGCACCATTGTGGCGAACAGTAAAATATAAAGCTTTCCAGGGATCGTCTCCAATCTAGAGGTTTCCAAAAGAGTAAAAATCTAACCATGTGATAGAGGTCATACTGAAACTGGATGAACTTGTATCCTAATTTCAGGAGAGAGAAATCATGCACTTTAACATGATTAGAGTAGTTGACTTGGCTCTCAATCAGATAAAGTAAGTTCTTAATCTTTCAATTCCTTTAGAACTGTCTTATCCTTGTATTTCCCTGTGGAGACAAAATTTTGTAAAGCTGACAAATGTGTTCTAAAAAAAGCGTGAATTTAAAGTCATACTAATTTTATAAAATATAGCCAAACCTGCTTCCTAGAAGAGACTAAATGTAAATGCCAATTGTTCCCAACATGGAGTGCAAAGACATTACTTAATAATCCACACATCGAGGCAACCATCTTTAGAGCAAGTCATCTCCCTCTGCAGAATTCACTAAAGTTAAATTATGTATTATAGTGTCTGATCTATAGGTGAGAAGTTTATGAAGAATTGCATTACAATCCTCCCTTTGGTTTCATTCTGAAAGCTTATTTAGAAATTCCACTGCAAGAACAAAGAGTTTGCCCTAAAACGTTGAAGACAAAGGGTTATCAACAGCTGTCTTGTGTCTGTGTGCAAGTGTGCACAAAGTTCCAGACACCTATTAAACAGTGACAGTCGTGTTTCTCGGCACTTACATCACATGTCATTATTAAATTTAAAAAAATCTCTATTGCATTATTCAAGCCAAATGAAATCAAATTCTTTTTACTGACTTCACATCTAACGCAAGAATGTTTCAAAGTAAAAGAGGCATATTTTAAGTAATAAAACTCGAGAGCCATTGGACTAAATACTCAAGTATACAGGAAAACATATCTGGGCACAGATTTATGGAAGGTAAGGACAGCTAGCGCATCTTATGAAGCATTTCAAAATCTGACAACTATAACACTTCCAGAAGACTTCTAACTCCCTCTAAACACAAGAACTTTTAAGAATCAGGCATCCTCCTGAATGACATTTTTTTTAAAGTAAGTCCTGTAGCTTAGTATTACTCCATTAACCACACATTGTAATGAACAAGTCATTCTCACTTATTAAATTTCAAATTCGGTCCAATAAAACAAAATTCACATTCTTCCTAGTGTACATTCTGACAGATGAACATTGTATACAAATCCCGTATTTCACTTTAAGAAGTACTTTACCATTTGTTAGACAGTTAGTCTGGCCTTGGGAATTAACGGCAGCTTCAGTCCTCATAGATTAAACTTATCTACTCCAAGAGTCCATTTTTATTTTATAGTTTGCAAGCACACCAGGCATGTTAGGTGGTGCCTCACACATTCTTGCAACAAACTGAAACAGAAAAGTGGAAGGCAGCTCTACTTTAAACTATTTGTGAAACAAGCACATGAAAGAAAACATTTCTAAGGGAGAAGAAAAGGCCTTTGTGTGGCGACACGGACTCCAGATATTCAAACAAAGATGATGCTTGTTGAGGGTAAAAACATGTCTTTCAGGCCAGATCCCAAGTATGAGCCGCAGCGGCCTACACCCGGCATTTCCATCTGACAACAAACAGGGGCTTGAGACAAGCCGCCTCAGAACACGCCTTCACCTCCTGCTGCAAAGTCAGCCACATGCGTACTACTTGTCATAAAATTTGTCATGAAGCAACAAAGAACATTTTTATGGAAAAAATTACACTAAAGCTAAGTGGGAATGTTCCCCTCAAATACATGTCATGTCTTAACATTATTTTCAGTGTGAAAACGTCAACCCCTCTTTCAGACGCTAAGTGAATACATGCTAAATCTTGGAAGGTTTTGGAAAGTTTTAACACACTACACATATACAAGTGAAACAAATATTTGGGGAAACAACGTGTATAACTACTGTAGGACAGCTCTGTGAAATTTTCTCTTCTATTCTTATTCCTTCTTACTCCTCTTCAGGGACCTACAATCCGGAAACCACTTTGCAAATGTTAACAGTCATCTTGGAGGCTGCTTGTGGACGTTAATCACACTTAACCAGATACTTAACACATTAAGTTCAAGCCAGTTGTAGTATTTACTATAAGTGAAAGATCTCAGAAGCTTAGAGAGAGGGAAAAATTTCAAGTTCTATACCGAGGAATAAGAATCAGACTGGTGTCAAACTTCTTTTCAGCTAAAAGATAATGAAACTCTATTTCCAGAGTTCTAAGGAAAAAAAGGATCATGAACGTAGAATTCTATACCAAGCCCAACTGTGAATGAACCATAGAGAAAAACTAAAAACATTTTTTGCTATATCAGGTGTGCTAAAGTTCAAAAATGGCCCACACCACCTAGAAGATGCCCACATCCTCATCTCTGGAGCCTGTGAATGGACCTTATATGACAAAACGTATTTGCAGATGTAATAAGTTAGGATCTTGAAATGGGAGATTATCCCAGATCATGCAGATGGGCCTAATGGAATCATATAAGGCACCTTATAAAAATTTTT